CAATGAGGTTCAAAAGTGAAAGTCTATAAATTGTGGCCAATATAAAAGAAAGCATTAGACTTATTTGGGGGGGGGGGGGATTGGACTAGAAGCTTACATTTGGAGATGTAAAACTAACGTGATACAAATGGGGTTTGTACAAACATGAAAGATAATGTTTTGAAATTGTGAGAGATATAACACAATTTGTCGTAAGAGGTTTATCGTAAAAATATGACATTAATTATAAGAAGACATACTCCTTTGTGGTGGATGCAACTATGTTTTGACCAGTTTAAGAAGGATGAAATTTGCAGACGATAGATATTGTGATAGCCTATTTGTACGTAAATCTTGATAATAATATTTATATAAAATTCCATGAGGGATTAGTTTGCCGGAAGCAAACATGTGACTTTCTCGAAAACATTTATCAATATAATTGAACAATCCCTAGTATGGATTGAGACAAAATCGATGAATGTGGTATATATCTAGTGTATTAGAGCATTTACATTTGGCATGTATGATTGTGTATTGACATATACCTTATGTGTGTGTTATTTTGGTTTTAGTTTTATGTATGAGATTTTATTAATGAGTGTGATTATGTTAATTGATGGTGTGCGTATGACGTGGTTTTGCTTGTGATTTTATGGTTTGAAGTAATTTCTTGCATACAATTGTGTTAGCCGAGTTTATAGTTATTTAGAAGAAAAGAGTCTTGACATTAGTTGTAATGATCTCATATTATTTTGATGATAAATATATTATAGGAACTCTTCTAGAGCTTCATAAAGAAATGGTTTGCTTAAAGAAAGAAATTGAACATGAAGGATTTAAAGAGATCCTTTATGGACCAGGATGTGGGAAAAGTGAAAGAGCGATTTCGTATGGAAAAATGACATATGTTAAACAACCTAATTATCATTATGTCATTAGAAGTGAACAAAGATTAATTTCGGCCTTGAGATAGAAGTGAATTATTAGGTCCCGAAGTATCGTATATTGATGTCGTTAGAGCAAAAATGCATCTTGCTATACTTCATTAGTCATTACCTATAGGTTATGATGGGGATAAGAGATGAGTTATTTGTGTACTTATGGTCATACATCTATCTCATGGTGATTCTAAAGAAAGCATAATAACTATATCATCTGATCATACACAATGATCAACAATTCATGATTTGTGGTTGTGAAGTATCTTCATAGAAATTATCCAAAAGATCATTTATGAAGAAATGGTCCTAATGGAACATGTATAAAGTTGACAATCTAGAAGATTTGTTCATAGAGTCACTCTCGATGACAATCTTTGTAAAACTTGTTGGTGGAATTGGATCTCAACGACTCAATAATATGAACTGATGTTTTTGTGAGGGGAGCATATACGCACTACACTCTTTTTTTCTTAACCATGGTTTTCTCACTGAGTTTTCCTGACAAGGTTTTTCATGAGGCAGTATGAGATGGCGTAATGCAATCAATATGTACTCTTTTTTTTCTACACTAGTATTTTTATCCCTTCGGATTTTTCCTATTAAAGGTTTAACCAGGCATATCTTCATCTAATGTTCATCCAAGGGGGGAGCGTTATGAAAATATTCATCGTGTCAACCACATTAGTGCACAAATGAGTGTTACATGTAACCTCTCATCTCACATTTGAATTTGAGCTTAATCGCTCATTAGTGATCATTATGTACATTGATGATAGAGTTGTATGTTGTATAGGTTTATGCCTATAAATAAAGCACATATTGTACCAACAATACACATGAATAAGAAGAACTCTTCTCCTTTCTCATCTTATGACATTCTCTCTATCCTTGCTCACATATTGGTTCCTCTTTCCTATTATTTTATAAAATTCATCTACAAATATATTATAGCAGAGTTGGGGGCAGTTTTTCAGCATTTCAAATTTTCTGCAACGAGAGCGAAAGTATGAAGGGTAATTGTGTCTTTACAATCATTATTTGTTTTTCATTCATAAGAAAAAAAGCATCAATCTTGGGATTCGAACCATATTCTTTCCTAATGAAGACAACAACCATTACCAGTTACACTAAAGAAATGTTTTGTATCTTTTTAAATACAAAATTTAAAATCCTAAAACTAATTCTACTATTGTTAGCTAGCCCACTAACTCTCCCGAAAGTACTTTTTTGTTATTTGATATTTTAATTTTCAAATTTTGCTTATTTTAATTTGATTTTAATAGTAAATTTAATTTACGTCCTCTTATAAATGGAGAATAATTTTAAAATTGCAACCCAAATATCATTGATTCGAATATTGCAAATTGAATAGTATTGAATGTGTAAATGTGATGTAGAATTCTTAAATTGGTATTAATTTTTAGAACTATTAAAGCAACGATATTGTTATGAAAATTGTAAGTGACCAATTTTTTGAAAGTTTTAGTTTGATTAATCGTTAAATCCTAAATTTCTTGATAATATGGCATGATTGGAAAAATGGTTGAGTTTAAAAGAAATACCAATTTTTATAGATGATTTCAATAGGGTAATTAACTAGATGTATCATTCATAGTTACTTAGTTTAATATGAAATAACGCAGTACAAGACAAATCATGAAGGTCGGGTTTGATGGGGTCATGTGCATTAGCAAGGTAGGTACCAAAAGATATGTTTAAATTTTTTGTTGAGTGAATAAGATTATCCTTCAACTAAATTTAGAGTATCTTGGTTGATATGCAACTTTTTCATTGCATATAGTATGGATGGAAAATGTTATTTTCTTACTAATTTTGTTATTGTATTGTGCATAATAATTTAAGATTTGGATATTGCTAAATATGTATTGTTTCTCAAGCAAAAGAAATAAATATTAACTAAACGTTATCATCATGAGTTTCCTATTTATGCAAGGCCAACTACTTTTATTTTCCTTCGTGGGTACGGGTATCCCAAAGCAAGCCCAAGCACTTTTATTTTCACTCGTGGGTGGATTCATCTCAAAGTAAGCCCAATTACAAGTTCTTTCTTCCACAGGCTACTCTTCAATCTTCATCAAATATACGGGTTTACAAAACCTTCCGCAATTTCAGAACTCAACTTTGCACTACAGAAATATCCTTCTACCTTTACAAGTCTTGAATTTTTAATGAAATATTTTATCCATTTCAATGGTTAAAATCATTTTCTGTTGTGAAGTTATGAAGTTTCAACACTCTGAAGCAAAAGTTATAAGTCGTTTGCTTGACTCTACACTGCGGATTGAATCTTTATCACTATTAATCATCATTGTACTATGTGTAAGCTCTGATTTATGCGTAGATGAGAAACATTAGTCATCATATTTTACAAAGAAATACATACACGCCGTTGAGTACATTTTTTTATTGTAAAAAAGAAGTACATTACCTTCAAAATATAGGTGAGCAAATACTGAATTTTTTCTTAATTGATTAGGATGTTGTATCATGTATGCGTGTTAACAAAACCTTCTAAAGAATATTTGGTTTAACATCATAATTATTGTTGATTTCTTTAGATAAAAGTGAGGTTTATTAACAATTTTTCATTAGTGTTTATAGGATAAGCAAGAGCCATAAAAAAAATCAGGTATCCTCACTCGAATGTTTATAACCACAAAATTGAAAATATAAAGTAGTAAGAATGTAAATTCAAAATATTCTGTTTGGTTAATTTGTAACGATAGAGAGTGCAAAATTACTGTTTCAACTTATCCCCGAATTGAGGTGCAAGGGGGGAGGGGAGGGGAGGGGAGGGGAGGGGGAGAAAATTATTTTTCTAATAATATTTAATTGTTTTATAATTATTAATATTATCAATTTTTTTTGTTATAGTTATCATTAATGTAGATATGTTAACCATTAGACTCCGAGAGCAAGTTTATCAATCTTCGTCTAGTCAAATCGAGATCTCTTGGTTGACTCGAATTTGCGTAGGAAATTAGAGATAAGAAGTGCTTATGGAAAATGTAGCGAAGAACGGTTTGTTTAACTCAGATTACTTGACTAAATAGCTAAAACTTACAGATTCGAACGTGTTTGACTAAGTTTGACCATATTCAATTTAAAATTAAATTATACACAAGAACCATGTAGGATGACCAGTTACGAGTTAGGCTTCGAGCTTCGAGGTCGATCGATCAATGATTACTACAGTTGTTATAATCAATTATTATTTTAGCATCATTATGTAATTATTATTATTATTAATTATATTAATTATTATTTTGTGATAAATTTTATTATTTGGTAAATCTATTTTATAATTATATAGTTCCTCACTGTTCACTTTATTTGCATTACCCTAGTTTTTCATCTAAACAACAATTTACCTTTCCACTTGCACCCTCGTGCAATTTACCTCTCAACTTGTACCTATGTCGAATTTGCACCCCTTATTCCCAAAAATAGTGTAAAGAACTATACAACGTTTAAGTGATAGATTAAATGTTTAGAATTTCAAATACAAGCCTATATTGGGCCTAGCTTAGATTAGAGTTGTGCCCTTCAATTTAACAAATAGGTATCATAGTTTTACAACAATGACTAAGAATTGTTGGCTAATGATTAAGTGTCAAAATAAACTTAAAAATTGATGTCATAACTATTTCCAGGCGCTAATATTCTTAGTTGTTTTGATGCACATTATAACATTTTTATGAATATAACTAATATATATATCGAACAATCGAGATTGTAAGCTAACATGGACACCTACCAAATTATGAGGAAGGTAATAAAATTCATCCGGCCAATTGGCCAGACAAAACAGTATAATCTATCGTGCGTACTTATTATTCTATTGAAGCTCATTTGAAAGAACTTGCTGAATTTTATGGGTTTGATGGACGTACTATTTCAAAATAATGTATTGTGAACTGCAAATCTATGTTTCTAACGATGAGATTTCGTAACTCTTATAAATTACTCAACTACAATGCTGATAGAGTAAGATAGGATAAACAATGGGAGGAATGATTATACGTTTAGATTAGCAACCAAGTGGAATTAGCTACCCGTTAACCCAATTTGTTGTTTATATTCGTTGATCTCGTCAAATGGAAAATTCATCCAAATTTCAGGTTTCTCACGTCCAGGCTCATGGTTAGAGAGAGCAAGGCAGGCAGATCGAACACAGAAACAAACTACTAAAGATGATGACCATCATCATCCATTCCATTTACTTCCAAAGGTTTCAGTTCATGACGTGAAACCATCCAATAATACATGAGATTTACACCAGTGTTCTTTCCTGCTGCATAATATGGGTTCTTATTTTGTACAGAACGTGGAACTTAAATAGCTACAACATAGCCACAATGCTAAGAAGCTTACTAGTAAACCATCAACCGGTGAGATCCTGCTCGGATTTATGCAACAATCGGATATGAAGCGCATGTGGCAACACCTACAATCAAGTCGAAAACGAAGCCAAAATGAATCAATCGGAAGCACCATATTGAATAACATGGCAGGCTGGTAGTAGGTGAGTAGAAAATTTAAGCTTACCACACATGTTCTTCCCCATTTCCATCTTGAAGTAACCATTGTCCCCCCAATCTGCTCCCCAAGAGTTCTTGATGAGCCAGTAAGGTACCCCATCTTCGACTCCATACCCCACGGCCAGAACCGCATGGTTCACATCCTGGATAAACCACAGATTACAGGCGGATAAAAAAATTTGTGTGTCAGAAAGGGTAATCCATAACCTATCTCATTGCAGGAATTTGTTTCCCAGTTTTGAGAAAAGAAGCACACCATGGGAGTACTGCCACAGGAGTCACTGGTGAAAACCCCATCCTTGTACAAGCGGAAACTGTTGATCACTTGAAACGCCACACTGACTGGACGAACCAGCGCAACTGCCTGCTTCAGTTCATCTTCTGCTCCCTGTAACAATACGTCTATTACCATTAATCACAAATCTCAACAGCAGACTGGTTCTCAACAGATGCAGCACAACATGATGATCAGGGACTCACCAGGGTGATGTTGACGGAGTTCAGCACTTGGACACCAATGTTTTGGGCAGAGAATTTGCACAGACCGTTCTTTCCAGTGTAAGGATAAGCTGCCTCGGTCTCGAGACCGCCGTTATACTTTATGTACTCGAAAGCTTGGGATGGGAGTCCACCATTGCAGCCATAGTTATTAAATGCTCCAGCACAATCCACAAGCTGCTGTTCAGACAGAGAGATCCCTTTCCCAAATGCTTGGGCATAAGCTGCTTCAAGAGCTCCGGTGGTGCTGCAGTAGAGGACAAACCATGTCAAAATACCATTAACCACTTCATCCAAGTAAAATATTGGGTATTGATATGTGGAAGTGAGCCAAAACCTGAAAGTCCAGCAAGATCCACAGCCACCTTGATTCTTAACTGGGCTAACTATTCCATCTTCCCTCCAATCTTTCTGTAACATTGCAGCGTAAGATCAGGTCAAGACATTATAAAGAGACGTCATTCACTCCCACTAGCTCAGCACCCTTCTCAAGGTGGAATCCATAAACCAAGCAATATACTTTCTAAATAGTTGGTCAATGAAGAACTTAGGAGTGGTACCTTCTCCGGAAGGACAGCATCACTGATCATGAAATTACCCCTCCTGGTTGCAGAGCAGTTCTGTGCAGCTCCAAGCTTCTGCGTTTGGAACTCTTGCCATGTCCAATCAGCATAATCTGCGTGCACAATACGACCCAGATTATACAATTGATTTAACTTCAGCCACAGCTAGTTCCTCAATCTTTTCCCAACGAAAGGTCAAGTCCCCAAGAACAAAGAACTTCAACTAATGAGATAGCCACTTTGATCAGTTGATGATACTTGTGGTATTCACTTATTTGCTTATTCATAGAGATTAAGCCAAGAAACAATAAATTCTTCATTTTTTACAATTACATTTAATTTTTTTTCTTCTTATCGTCACTATCATGGACCTTCCCTTCCATTATTTCGTTCAATTTTTCTAATAATGTCTGTTCCTATCTTTAACAAACGAATCGAAGATAAGACCCGGCCGGCCAACCAATCAATTGAAAGAGTAAATCATTCGAGGATGAACTCAGAAACTAGACTTACAATTAACGGCGAGCCTGTAAGACAATCCCTTCCGGTTGGTGGATCTGACCAAACGACGACTCTCCATGAAAATCGAGAACCTCTGCCTGATCTCTTCCTCCGTCGCATAACTCTTCCCGTGCCTGGAAAAGCACCAAAAGATACATGAACAATCGGAGTAGAAAACGAGCAAGCGGGAGAGAGAACTAAGAATCGCGACCATCGCCGGTACTTATACCACACAAACGAGTTGATCACCGTACCTGTGAGCGAAACGGGCGAATTTAAGAGCCCCGCGAGCGTTCCCGACGGCGTTGACCACAGAAGCCTCCAAGTCGCTGAGGCGATCGGGAAACATCCGGATGGGATTGGAGTCGTCGTCGAAGAAGGCTGCGGCGGCTGCGGCGCAGCAGAGGAGGAGGAGGATCGAGGAGATGAAGGCGGGGCGAGCCATGATCTCTGCCGGAGAAGGAAGTGGATAGGCGGAGGAGGGAGAGGATGTGGCTGGTGAAGTGGATGAGAGTGGGGAATTGGGGGAGCTGCTTATAAAAAAAGATCTGTGGAGTGTGTGGGAAGGGAAGGGAAGGGAGGACGAAGAAAGAATCTTGGAGAATGGGGCCCACGGAGGTCGGAGACGACGGAGATACCGGAACGGAAAGGTGGCGCTCTATTATTGGGGATGGTGTGTTTACTTATTTGGCGTATACTGGGAGATCAATGTTTTGTGAACTCCAGGCTCTTGGGTTGACGCATACGATGACGTGGTTTTACCTACTTTCCGTTGTAACGGGAACTTAACGGCATTCCAATCTATCCGGGTTGAGTCCAATTTGGTGAACACGGTAAATTGTCGCAACACACTCCATCAAAATTCATCTCAGCTTAATCTTATGCAACTTTGTTCTCCTTCGACAAGCTCTCGTTTTCAGACAGTCCGTTGAATACTCGTAGTTCATACTATTCGCCCTGTAAATCATTTTGAAGGAGTACATATATAATTGATTTTTTTTATGTCTCATGAGTATGAAAAGCGACAAAATAAGCACAGATGATCTGTAAAGTCACGGCGCTTTCGATACGCCATTATTTGCTGCAATTTTGTTATCTCTCGTTTCTCTGGAAAATTGATCAGTTTGCTAGCTAATTCTCTCGCTCTCTCCTTTCCATCTTTCTTTGTACAAATTAGTTTGAATTCGCTCAAATCTTACCTTTTCCCCTTACCAAGGACAATAACAATCCAAAATAAAATAAAATCTATAAAAAGATAAAAACAAATGGAAACAGACAATTTACTGCTGGCTTTGCAGACTGTTAATAGTTCAATGCTTCAAGAAGTATCAATTAAGGGCAAGCAAACGAGTTAAAAAAGATCCAACAGGGACCTGGGAGATTTGTGGCAACAAAGGAGTGGGAATGGACTTGTAACTGAAGATTAAATGGGCCGATTTTGAAGAGAGAAAGTGGGGGCCCAAGGTCGTTCCGACGGGAAAGCCGCAGGCGAGTAGCACTGGAAGAAGGCAAGGGACGGGAGGAGTCATATCATATGGGCCGAACAACGGACCATGTAAGGAGGCCCAAGACCAATACAATAAACAACAGACCGGGAATGTGCGGGGAGAGAGTTTTCCCAAAAGGAAGCTTAGATGCCACGACTAGAGAAAAACCCACCGCAGATGACCTCCTAGCCTGTGAAACAGCTACGGTAGCCGTGGCGCGATACAAGTTATAGTTACGCTTTATCGACGAAGATGGAAATTAAATCGATCGATGATGGTGTCATCATAAATTAATTGGTCTCAATAACTTGAGTTGATGAAAAATGTTTAATTATGAGTCGATTCAAATACGTTTGTAGCTTACACGATCCGGGATCCGGAATTCCGGATACCATGTGTTTAAAGGCTCTAATTAATTAAGTCAAACCTTGATTAATTACGAGAAGTAGTACTGACTGAAAAGTGGAAACAAACACCAAGCAGTCTGAGCCGAGAGAGAAGAACCACTTCATCACTGGCTGCTGGCTAGGAAGTAGCACAAACAATTTATTAAAATGCCACATGTATGACCTTTGACCATCTCAGCAACTGACCCAATTGCAACTGTGGACTTTGACCGCCAACAATCGGAGATCCAGTATTATATTTGTTTAATTAATCATCATATATGCAATATGTCATATAGAAATGAAGAGGAATTAAACGAAGATCAACCAGTCAAAATGAACTGTATGTACGTGTTGATGTGACTTGAATGGGACTATCAGCTGCTATGACTAGTAGTCGGGGGTTTCGCTGCCCGGTCAGCGAGTGGGGTCTAGGGGCAACGCCCCGAGTCCGCGGTGTATGGGCTCAATGTTATTTGGGTTCGGGTTCTGGGCCTGGTCTGCGTTTCCTTTGCCATATTGGCTTAGGTTTAGACCCACATGGAGAAGTACTATAAATACTTCTCATACTTCTCTGTAATCTGTAATCTCCTCGATATGGTGAAACTGGCTCTCTCTCGCCCGTGGACTAGCTAACACACATTGTGTTAGTGAACCACGTAAATCGTGTGTCTGTGTTTTCGATTCTCGCTTTCGTATTCTTGTTTTATCGATTCCGGCGATTTCCCGATATGTAGCAGCGCGTTTATAACAGTACGTATACAGTGAGATCATATACATACGAATTTCGTAGTGGAATCGCACTCTTACGTGTTTGATGTCGCACATGTCTTCTCAAAGAAAGTCAATTTGTACATTCGAAATTGTTATAGACCACCGAGAATAGTTAATATTGGGGTCATGAAAATCAGACTTGAATATGTCATGAACCAATTAGTCTTGAGTTGTTGGGAGAGATCAACGTATAGTGCTTAGTCACTTTCGGAACAAACCTTAATACATTACGGATTAGTAGTGGTGGGGATTAGTTTACATGGATTATCGAGTCACATGTACCGGCCTGCACTTTCTGATCCATCAGCCAACTTGCTTGGCTGCGTAGTGCTTACTGTTAATTACTATTTAATTTGTTTGCTTGCTTGCCAGCTTGTTACATTCGATATCCCTCGCCAGTCATGGTCACAAGTTTGTCTTTTCTAATGATACCTTGTTTAAATTCATGTTCATGTTAATAAACAAATCACTAGTGCATATGCCTCATTATTACTTCCATTTTGACTTCCAACTTTGAATGACATTACTGATTGGAACGAGTAACAGTGGCCCAACGACCTTACATTGCTACATATATACCCTTCCACTTGCAGCTAAGGGGTTATATTTCCACTGCCACAGAGAAAAGGAATTGATGCTTGGCCACGTACATTGTTTCTCAATCCCTCTGTAATTTGTAATATCTTCCAGTATAGTGGAACCGACTCTCTCTTACCTATGGATTAACTAACACATTATATTAGTGAAACACGTAAATCTGTGAGTTCTTTACTTTCTTGCATTTTCTATTATCTGGATCCGTTTTTATACCCAAAAAGGTGTTAAGACAGGGAGAGTGATCCATTAAGTTTCTTGTGACATCTCATGGCCGGCGGCCGGCGGGCACATTTTGGTCCTGGAATTTGCATATTCTCCTTCTAGCGATTACGTGCATTATTAGTACACGTACCTAACGGCCGGACGCTTGAGCAACTGTATCATAATATCTGCAGGTTACTCTGAACCTGTCAATAATTGGCCATATAAATCGTCATTAACTCCATTATTCTTGTTTAAGGTGAGGAGGGAACTAATCAAACAATCAAAATTCCAAGAATGTTCCATTCCATATATATTTGCAAGGAAGGAATAACCAACCAAACAACAAACAAACAAACAAAGAGAGATCTCCGGTGACCCCTCTGTCGCAACCGCCCCCTCGCGATCTGGGTATCGCTCGCGAACTGCTCGGAGTCGCCATCGACCTTAAAAGTAGTGGGTCGAACACCATTTTCCGGTTTTAATTTTTTGTTAAAACCAGAATTCTGGTCTGCGAATTTTAGATTGTTCTAGGTTCGGGAGTACGGTTACGTGTGGGGAAGTGTATTCACACCCCACAACGCCCCATAATGGGTACTACATAAATCGATAAGTTTGTTCAGAGGTTGGGTGTAATATTAATTGGGATTTGTTTGCTTTAGTTGTAGTTTTAATTGTTTTTTTTTAAATGTAAATTTTAAAGTCCCATAGGACGATGTGATTGGTGTAAACTTGAATTTAAAGTTACCGGTTTTCACGTCTATTGACGTAAAAAGGTTTTTTAGATTGGTTGGACTCGAACCTATCGGCTGCCTACGTACCCGGGTTAACCGGGATCAAAGTCCACGTAGTTCGATTGTTTTGATCGGTTTTGAAAAGAGAAAACTTTACACGTTCTATTGATCGTGTAAGTCTAGATATTGCATTTCTTCTTTGAAGATAATTTTAGTGCGTTGACGTAATTATTTATTGGTTACACGATTGTCACGTTCTAGTGAGCATGACTTTTCGTATTAAGGATTTTTAAAAGAAACATACGTATGCAGGCAACTATTTCAAATGAAGTTAATGATTCATTTCGAAATCAGTATAAAAGGTTTATTGATCCTCGAGATATACTAAGGAAATTATCGTGCTTAAGTACGTATTATGGTTATTTAAGTTAAAATAAACTAAGATTGACATGTGAATAAGTGGCAGGCGACTAGCCTAGAGGTTTATTCTATTAATGAGAATTTATTATGATCTTTGTGTTAGTGGTTCGAATCTTAGAACCAACAAATTTTTGTTTTGAGCCGAGTTAAAACCGCGTCGTTTTAAGGTGGGTAAGATTGCAATGGAGTAATTTCATTAAATCGACAGGGGCAACTACGTCTTTTAGCCATGAGTACTATATAAGTCTCTCCTTAGGCTGAAATGGAAACCCTAAACTATTCATCTTGAACTTAAACGCCGCTCAAACCTTCATACCTCTTTCTCTCGTTTCTTGCTCTTTGAACCAGAAAGCAAACCGATTCTTCTTCTTCTTCCATTCATCGCATTCGATCTTCGCTGTAGAAAACCAGAGAAACGCTGGCTTTCCAATCACTTCTCCCTCCATCTCCCTGCTTCTCGGCCTCCGCGGTTCCCTTCTCCGTTTTCGTTTTCTAACCTTCTCCATCTATCTTCTTCACCCCACTTATTCCGATCTTCCTCCGCCTTCTCCTTTCATTTCCGAACACGACAAGCAGAAGGCAAGGAAGAGGCGAAGCAACGATCTAGGAAAACCCGGCCACTGTCGCCGGCGTTAGCGGCGACGATGGAGGCGAAGGTAAGGGATCTTCTTGTATAGGGTTTGCATGTCAATTTTTTTAGTTTATCTTGGCGGTTTAAGGTTCTGATTGTTGATTTTTTTTGTTATTGTAGTTCTGCCCTCGATCGAGGGAAAAAGGAGGAAAGCCGCAAGCAACTCTTCTTCTCACCGACAACTGAGGAGCAGCCTGGCGGCGGTGAGTTATGGTGAGCCTCTTTCCATCTGGGATTGATTTATTTTTACTTTATTTTTGGGTTTGGTAATGATTTTTCTGGATTTTAGATGATGGTGAAGGGAAGGAGGAAGTGGGAACGGCAGGGTGAAGAAGCCCGCCGCCGCCGACTCTGTATTTCGCCGACGGCGACGACAAGGACAGGAGGGGGATTTTTGTTTTGGTAAGTGTCTCTTCTCCAGGTCTGTTTGTTTGGGATCTTAGGATTGATTGTGTCTATGAATTGGGGAAATCGGGTTCATTTGTGGTTGTGAATCCTAAAATTGGATTGTGGTGGACAAAGTCTGAAGATATGTTTTGTGGTAATTGAATGTGAAATTTTGTGTACGTTGGTGTTTACGAGGTCATTATTCTGAGTTTAGAGGTTTATGATTTGGAAAATCAGATTTGATCAATTTGATTAGGTGGGTTTCTAATGGTATGTTTTGAGGGGTTAATATGGGAGTTTGCAAATCTGGGATGGTTTTGAAACTGGAAATTGTATGTGTGATGTGGGTTTGAGTGTAGAAATTTGTATACCGTGGGTTTTGAAAATGAAAATTGTGGGAGTTTATGACCGAATTTGTTGCTGGAACTTTAAGAGAGGATGCCAAAAAACATCCCTTAGTTTGAGTATGATTGAGTCAAGTTGGTTTAATTTGCTGGTTAATATTTGTTTATATAATCTAATTTGGTAGCTTAGAGTGAGTAGTATGCTTGTGATGGTATGTTTAGCACAAAGAAAGTGAAGTAATTGTTAAAGTAAACAGTAACATTGCTAAATATATAAGTATGGTATGATCAGAAACATTAAGAACAAAGCTTAATATATGTAGCTCTAGTTTTGTTTATAATACGCAAAAACTTTAAACATATACACATAAATACATGCCGCCAAAACATCTTTGAGAGAATGCATCAGATAATGATTTTGTTGATTACTTAGTGGTTAACTTGTAGTTTGTTTGGGTATTGGTTGAGTGTTCATTCAGAAAAGGTATAAAAAGATGAAATTAGGAAATGATGTGTACATGGGTTGATATGCTCTATTTAACCTTTTCTTGCAGTTTGAGGAGGGGCTGAAGCTGCTTTCCTCTCTCGTCTGTGAGTGCTCTTCACTTGCTTTTGCTTCTTTCATTTCTGAGCTTCTGCTTTGGTATCGGGCAATAAGTAGCAGGGAGTCCATCTCTAGATTCATTTTTTGTTGTCTTTTCTTTCTGATTTGTTGTCTGTGTATGGGGGTTTTAGTGAGGTGAAAGAAGAAGAGCTCCCCGTAGGGAAGAAGAAGAAGGGAGAAAAGATGTCTTTTTCCTAATCTGTCTCTTTCTTTCTGTATGTTTAGGGAGTGAATAAGAAGAAGAGGTGAAGAGAATCCCCTGTCGTGGGGGAGAAGGAAGAATAAGAAGCATAGCCAAGTCTCACCCTTTTGTTCTCGTGGGGAGGAAGAAAGGAAAGAGGAAGATGTTGTCTGCTGTGGGAAAAGGAAGAAGAGTGGAAAAACAGTATGGAAGAAGAAGAAGAAAAAGAGAAAGGAAGTCCCTGTTTTTTTTTTAGAGTTTCGGTCGGATGAAGAAGAGGAGAAGACCTCTTCTATTTATGTGTATGGTGCTTTAGGAGGGGAGGAAGTGGGAATTTGTAGACCTTATGCTCCTTTTTGTCTTTCAACCAGAAAAGGAGAAGAAGAAGTTGACTCTGTTTTTCTGTGAGGAAGGGATTGGAATTGAGAAGTTTTGCAGAGTTCCCCTGCTGTGTTTTTGGATTAGAAAAGGAGGAAGTGGAGAGGAGATTTTGTTTTCAGAGGGAAGTAGGAGTGGAAACTGAAAGGGAAGAGGAATAAGAAGAAGAAGAGATGTAGTATGGAAGAATGTCGTCGCTCCCCCCTCCTCTCTAAAGAGCAAAGGGTTCTTTTATATGGAATAGGCAGCTTGGTCTCCAAGCATGCTACAGTGCTGGTTCGGTTCATGGTCGGACCAATATTGGTTTGGGTCCAACTGAGTTTGGTTGACGGGTTTGACCAGTGGGTATTTGACCATTGTTGACTGGATTTGACCCGAGTTGACCATGACTTTAGGTCTTGATTTATTTTATTGTTGTATTTATTTGTAAATTTAATGGAATAGCATTGTGATTGTGATTGTAATTTTTATTTATATTTGATTTAATTCAAATTTAGTTTAATAATATGCTTATTTATCTTTTCTTAATTCGAATATTTTTAAAAAAGTACCCCGTCCAAAATCTTAAGAACCAATTCATCAAAGATCAATTCACAAATTGCCTAATTCGTCAAATCAAAGCAAACACAACTCAACTCTCGCACTATCAATTATATTGGTCGAGATTAATCTCGTCAAGGCAAACAAAACCCATCACAGGCACTACGAATATGTTTTAGTTAGAATGTCATTTAGGATTTGCTATTGCAAACTTTAGACAAAACACTAAAATTATTTAATTAAGTATATGTTCTAACCCGGACAAAAAGTGGTGTCTACAGTTGCCCCCCTTTGTATATCTCTTGGTATTTTGAGAGGTATACAAAGTTATTATAGCACACCATTTTTGGCCGATTAATTATTGCTATAAATTGCAAGGTTGGGGCGCTAGCCCACTCCCTTTTGGTAAGTTAAGGTGAGGTAAGTAAATTTATGCGGTAGTATAATTTGTTCATTTGTTTTTTTATATAACCTGCGATTTTGTTTTTCGTATCATGGCGGTAGGGCCAGTGTTAGTGATTTTTGGATTTCTTGGCGGTAGCGCCTGCGTTAGTGCTTTTGGGTTTCTTAGCGTTTTTTAGGTGTCTTGGCGATAGCCCATGCGTTAGTGTATTTAGGTTATTTTGGTAGGGCCTGAGTTGGTAATTAAGATTCTTGGCAGTAGGGCCTGAGTTTGTATTTAGGTATCGCGGCGGTAGAACCAGATTTGAGGTTTTTATCCATGACGGTATAGCCTGATTTGGTTCTATCTTATTCCCCATGGCGGTATACCCTGACTTGGGGTTTTTTATCCATGGCAGTATAGTCTGATTTGGTGCTTTCTTATTCCCATGGCGGTATAACCTGATTTGGGTTTTTCTAGTTTCTTAGCAATATAGAAAGGGTTTTCTTGTGGCGATATAGCCTGATACGAATTTTCTTTGCGGCGGTATAGCCTGATATGGTTTTTGTCTCGTGGCGGTATAGCTTATTTGTTTTTTAATGATCCGGTAGCGGTATAGCCTGATTTAGATTCTTTTTGTATGGCGGTATAGCCTACTTTGACTTTTGTTTGGCGGTATAGCCTGTGTTATTTTTTGTAAGGCGGTATAGCCTGTTTTTTATTTTTTTGAGTGGCGGTATAGCCTGTTTTGGGTTCTGCATGGCGGTATAGCCTGATTTGAGGTTATCTTGTTCCCGTGGCGATATAGCCAGATTTGAGATTTTGGTGATAGAGCCTGATTTTGGATTTTTATTCGTGGCGGTATAGCCTGTTTGATCACGTGTATCATGGCGGTAAAATTCACGAGGATATGTGAAATTTTAACTTGATCACGAGTGGTATAGATTTTTTGTGATTGACATGAGTGGTTGAAACAAGCAATTGGTGGTCTTAGGTAGATCTAAGGTATGTGACAAACTTGATATTGGTAAAGATATGAATTTTGACTTCCCCATATGTGCAAATGCAAGGTATTTTGTGATATGATATGATGCAATATTGTGATGAGATATGTTGGAAGGGTACATCTACTTTAAATGAATTTTGAGAATGAATGATATTTAATTTGGCTATGAATTTTTTTATAGATGATGCCATATGATTAGTTTGAAGTGCATCGAGAATGATGCCATTCGATGCGTGTGAAGTGCTTTCGAAAAAGGTTGTATGATGGGTTATAGGATGATGTCTCGATGGTATGCAAAAGAAAGAGTATAATCCCTCATCATGGTCTTGATGTTTTTTTATGGATTCTCTAAAATCGATCATCCACAAGGAAAATATGTCATTCCCTTTTAGTAAAATCGATCATTGGTTGTGCTCGCGATGGGGTAGCATACTGCCGGCATGGGTACTTTATTTCGTTGGTGTGTGTCACTATCTCGAGGTACTGGGCTTGCCATCTTGTTTATCCTCTTTTATATACTCAGTGAGCACAAGGTATGTCGCTTATGGGGATTGATGGAAGGTTGGTCTTCTCTTTTCTCCACCTTGGACATTGATTCTTGGGTGGCTGATGCATTAGCCATATGATCTTTTTATGGGATGTGCTTGGTAGTTTGTTTCTGTAAGAGGATTTTGTACCACCTTGGACATTGATTCTTGGATGGCTAATGTATTAGCCATATGATCTTTTCATGGGATGTGCCTGGTAGGTTGTTTCTATGGGAGGATTTTGTAGCATGCTGGTCACAGGATAATGTGCTCATTTAGTTTGCTTGATCTTCTTGCTATGTGAGCATGTCGTGCTTGGATAAGAGAAATTTGTTATCTCTGGGTATTGTCTTGTTGATGTCGGTTTTCTAGACATGCTTGATTGACCTCATGGGGAGGTATGAGGTACAAAAATACTTTGTTGACGGATAGTTTGATTGATTGGTAGGGTATCTTGGACAAAAATGATTCAAGATCTATGAGATTTCCCATTTACTCATGATTTGGTGGGTTTGGAGAACCACTTTCTTCTTTCTTTCCGAGTGGCACCATCTTGCCCCTGAGAATGTGTTATTCGCCTTTCATTCTTCGGAACAAAGTGTGACTTTTACCAATCTTGACTTAAGATGAATGCAAACAATGTTTGAAAAAAAAAAAAAAAAAATTTAAGAGGATATAATAGGAACTTGACTTTTGAAATCAAAGCCTTGCTGGGGGAATTGTATGCAATATGAGAAAAATGATTTCTTGTGTGGTTATTGTCACCTTGTTTAAAAATTCGTTCTTTTCGGAAGTCAAGCCATGAGAATATTCACAAGCCCTCACTTTCATTCTCACGCTCAATTTCGCTCACACTCATTCCTATGGGTGCTTCGAGTATACGACACTTTGGCTACTATCAAGATTCTTGTCGTCAAGTTGATGGAAAAATCTGTCGGAGGTATAAGTTGACGATCATGGAGATTCTATGTAATCTCTGTATGGTCTTGTTGTGGGATTTCTTGAATTTTCTAGAAACGAGGCTCTTTTTCTATATGGGTTCCAATCGTAAGAGTTCTCGTGTTTTGAGAAGTTTACTTTCCCCAAATGAGAGGCGGGTAAAGGAAATGTATATGGAATTTGACTTTAGTCATGTGAAACTTCGTGTTGAGGGATATTTGGCTTATCCCCAAGGTATGAGACGGGTTGATGGAAATATGAGATAATCCCTTCTTGTCGTAAAAAGTTTCTTGTGGAGGGATATTTGGCTTGCCCCCAAAGTATGAGATCGACTGATGGATTGAGGAGATCTTTGTCCAGGAAGTTTCATTTTCATTGAGAATGGTGGCTCATCTCGGGCATCTTTGTGGATATATATTTGGCTCAAGTTGCCCCCTTGTCTTGAAACTTGGTTCGGAGAGGTGGGGTTGAGTAATCAGTATCCAAGATCATTTGAGTAGAAAATTCGATTATGGAAATATTCTCATTTGTTGAGATCCATGTTTGACCTCAAAAGGATGGGTAAGGAGATATGGGTATGACATAAACTTTGACTTCTCATCGGATCTCGAAATGATGAATGCTGAAAACCCTTGTACGGTGTAGTGATGGTCGTCAAAGTCTTATATCATGGGGATTCTTGTTTGACTTGAATGCGAGACTTCAAGTGATTGATAATGAGGATGATCATGGGGCTGGATTTTAGATCAAGCAAACATTCTTGTCTTGGGATCCCCATCTTATTCAAGATTTTCTTGCGTTATTTCTTTAGACTTGGAGGGTGAATGCCATTTGATTTGGAAAGTTGATTGATTTGGTCATAGCTCGCTTTGGAGTATTAATCATGTTGGTTGGAGGATGGTCATACATTGCGCTCTTGACCATGTTGAAGGTGAACTCGAAATCATTCTTTTGTCCTTTTAGAGAAGATAGCATGTGATGAGTTTGAGTGGTTCTGACTCCAAGTGCTCATGTAGGGGCATTCTAATGTGTAAGTCCCACAATATCTTTTTTTTGTGTGTTTTTTATGCCTTTTTGGCTTCTTCTTTTTTTGCTCTTTTTTTTTGGAGGACTTACTTGGCTTGCTATGCCCCCCATACATATTGCTATTTTGACGCTTTTGATTTTTGTATACGAGCATGAAGTTGTTAGGAGATTTGTCAATATATCAATCTTTGTGAGTGGTCCTCCTTGTTGGCTAAGCCACTTGGTCATTCCTTTCTCGAAGAAGCGAGATATCTGGTGCTGGCACGTATTGTTCGAATGCTTTTTCTGCTTGAATAGCCCACGATTCGGACTTAGGCATGTAGGCATTTGGACAATGGGGCTTTTTGTCTCATTAAAACCTCAACTGATGATGTGAGTTTGTCAAATTGGATCATTCAACCTCCTCAATCTTCTGGACGTTAGGGCTTTGTGGGAATTTGGCTATTTTGATGTCGGCATATCGGTGCTCATGGAATATGATTTGGCTACTCAACCTCCTTTCTAGCCGAGCCTTAATTTGATAGAGGACATTGGTTAGGGTAGTGACAAGCTTCTATAAGCAGCCTAGTGTCATATCCTCGTTGCACCATTTGACTATTTAGCTCACATAATTTGTGGACACCAGTGGGGTGTTTTTCTCTCAACTCTAGCAAAATGTGTTTATTCTCAACATAAGTGGGTGGATTAGATTCTGGACACCAGTACGGTGTTTATAAACACTCAGCACCAATGGGGTGCTTATGGTTGCTTAATATGACAATCTCATGGCTCAACTTGAAAATATGAAATACGTTTTTAGGTTCCCATTTCCACAGAAGAAAGGTAGATTTTAAAAGATATGGAAGATATATTCGTCATTTTTGAAAAAGAATCATTGATGCAAAGTCTTAGATCAAGATTGGTAGTTGGCACACAATGTTCCAAATAGGTGGAAATGCGAGTTACACATCATTCTTTATTATGATATAAAGGTTGGTACACATCTTCAATATGGTAGAGTATCTAGACATTTGTTTGATTGTGCGGGGCTACATGATGCTCGAATTAAGCCTTCTCTAGTAGTATGCCTACTAATCTCCATAGCTAG